TCAATAGAAATATAGTGAAAATTATCCGTAGTTATGTTAAAAATTTTCATAAAAGCTGGGATAACTATGTCAATGAATTTGCTTTCGCCCTTAGGACCGCAAAACATGATACAACGGGCAAAACTCCTGCTGAGTTATTTCTAGGCAGAAAGATTATAACACCGTTAGATAAATTATTTTATGTGCAACAAAGAGCCCCAGAATTTAAAATGGGTGATATAGAAAAACTAATTAAAAGAAGCAAAAAAGAATACGGAAGTAGCACAAAGAAAACAAAATTGTATTATGATTTGAAACGACGGGGAGTAACTTATAAAGTAGGGGATGAAGTATTAAAAATTAAGCATTCACTTTCTTCAGCACCAGAAGATAAAACTGCCAAATTTTTTCCACGATTTGAAGGACCATATGTTATAGAAAAAATAACTCACGCTGTTGTAGTGTTAAAAGCCAGAAATGGTGAAACCTGTTCCGCAAACATTGATCAAATAAAACCATACTATGATCGTAATAAAATGCAAATCTTTTCAGATCTTTTGCAGGATCCGGCACGGCAGACACCGCAGGTACAAGTTCCAGAGGTGGAAAAACGACAAGTACAAGGGCAAGCCAATGAGAGACAGAAGCAAGTGAAAAGAAAATTGCCCCCGCGGAAAAATTGAAGGTAACAAGAAAAAGAAGCCGTTCCACCGTCCAGTCCAAAAACAGAGTTCACGAACACCCCCAGAATGAAGAAGGGAGAAGGACGACGTATGTGAAGAGGACCAGGAGAAATGACGGCAACTATAACCCGGCTTTAAAACGGAAGATCTACTCATCCGACAGAACTCTCCGCAGCAAAAGTCGCCGAACTGCGGAAGGGCCATCAGCGGCGGAGGAAAAAGTACAAGAAAAATTTGAACGGCCAACAACGAGGTCCAAGCAGGATCACGACAGAAGTTTCCCGGTTCCGCCAAGACCAGCTGCCATCAAACGGCCAAGACCACAAGCAGAGGAGAAAAAGAAGGTATTCAAGGGTGGCCGTACTGGTGAAAAAAGGAAGCTTCCAGAGGAAAGCACTGAAGGGCGAGCCCGTACAAGAAGGAGGATAAACCAAGCTACTATCTGCAGCACCTTTAAAGACTGGGCCCAGAAAAGGATGTCCGAATATTACAAAGATAAGTAAAATTTTATGTTACTTTGCAAACTTAAGTTAATCTTTCATTCTTACTGCAAGTGGCAGATTTCAAGAAGTTTTACCTCATGCGAGGTCTACCTTTATCGCCAAAAGGGCGAGAAATGAGTTGTGACCGATTTTCTTATTATGTTTTTCAATTACTCGCGCGTAAAACTAAAGTTGATGTATAATAGCGTTGTGTAAAGACTTAAATATTGTAAAAAGTTATTGTATAAATTTTATTTAAAACATTCTAGCAAGAAAGAAGTTTTAGTCTGAAAGACTTTTTGAAATGTAGTATTATTTCAATGTAGAAAGAATTGGCACTTGCTTTGAAAAGAATAGAAGTTAACAATGTACTACTAATGTATGTTTTCAAATGTGTAAAATTAACGGCATGTTGATATGTTCTTATATACATGTGAACTGTTATTTTAAATGTTAAGAAATACCGTGATATGGTAAAAGTGAAAGTAATGTTAAAAAATTTTTTATTCGTGTGACTGTAAAGATTAAATCATGGTGAATATGTGTTAAAGGTTGAATGATGTAGTTAGGCTCTCTGACGCTACACTTTAGAGTTAGCCACTTTCAGAATAGTACCTCAGGGTTTAGAGTTGAAATTAGGGTGTGTTAAGAGGTCTCGTTATGTTGAATTTTAACACGTTAGTGTTTTGATTGTAGGAGGAAGTGTTGAACACGTAGACAGAAACACATTCGTGTTTGGTGTTTTTTACAACACATGTCAGAGAGCACGGGGAGAGATAATTAAAATAGTCATGAATGAAATAAGAATGTTAAGAGAAGTATATTCTATATGTTATTTGCAATGTCATTGTGTAACATTTCATTAAACTAGTTTTCCTTCCAGATCTCTGGAAGGAACCAGAATTGAATAAAAGCTCCTGTTTAGATGCAGTACAGATGAAAAAAAAAAGATTGTTGTATATTCCTGGGAGCTGCTATTGTAACAAATTTCTTTCTTTTAAATTTCTAGTTTCTAGCGAAGTTATGTTTGTAAAAGATTGGCCTCGCGTTAGATTCTAGAGCTAAAAGTTTTCAACAAGGTCGTTTTAGACCTCAGTTTCAAACTAATTAACTCTGGCGGGAAGTATGTAAGGATCTTAAGTTTTACTAACGTTTATTTTATTTTAAATCTTTACTATCACTTCTTATTTTCTACTTCCGGCCAGAATTATAAGCGTGAAGGAGTTTATTATGCAAAGTTTGTCTGGCGAACGCCAAGTATTTAAGTGTGGCCTTTTTGCCAAGCAGAAGAGAGGAAGCAGTGAGTTCGAAGCAGGCCGCTTACCTTAGAAGTTTACGCAGTTGCTGTTTGCCTTCCAGGCCAGAGGTTTTAATCCTCTTGATAAATTAAACGTATTGTAGTGTTCACAGTCTCTGTGCTACATACGCTTCCTGTTATTATAAGGCCAATCTTCCACGTTCTAAAGTTAAATTAGAGTTTAGTTTTATTTTTATATCTTTTACGTTAGACCCCGAGTGGAGGTCATTGTATTCCGAAGTACGGAAGTCATTGTATATAGAGAAAAAATAAAGGGTTTTGTATACCCTTCGTCTGTATCCTGTCTACTTACCACAATTAGTGAACATAGCTTTAGTAAGCTCTCTGTTCCGAGTCAGGTCCTTGTATGTTCCCGAAGAAGGTTAGAAGAAACATTGAACCTGATAATCTGGTATATCTTCCGCCTTCATAGCATACCTTCGTGGTGTAGCGGTCAGCACGCTCGACGCGTATTCGAGACATACGTGTTTCGAGTCCCGGCGAGAGCACTGCTCATTTTGCATGTCTTCTGCTTCGAAAGAACAATGTCTCAATACCTTGGCTTATATTAATTTAGAAATAAGGAAGGAGCTTAAAATGTGAATTAGTGTAATGTTATTTTTATTTATTGTTCTACATTCATCACTCCATTTATTTGAATCGTTAGATTTTTCAGAAATTCGGAGTTAAATAGAATATTATGCTTTAAACAGCACGTAAAAATTACCATCTTCCTTAGAGAATTTTAGTTATTAAAGAGTGCCGATAAAATAGTAAAAATGTTTTGTGGTGATGTCGTGTATTAATGTATTTGAAAAAATCAGTTAGTGGTTAGACTTTCCGAATAAGTATGCTTTGATAATTTGATATATATATTTTAGGAATTCTATTAGAGGCTGGAATAAAATAGGTAATTATGAGAGATAGCACATTTATATAAAATTCAATTTTCATTTTTATTAAAATATATGTTTTGATTATTATACCAAGGCACTTAAGAAGATTTATTACGCTTTACTTTCATGTTTTTGAGTTGATAAATTGATTTAGAAAGCAAACAACAAAATTCACTGTTATATTTGCAAATTTTCACAGGACTGATTTCGATGGTCTTACCGAACCATTATCCTTAGCGGCAAAGCGCAAATAAACAAGACAAGATAGATAATGATAAGCTAAGAACGGCTGTACAGGAGTTAAGCTACTGGCGCCATCTATTGATGAAACAAGAAAACTAAAATATAATTTCCTTAAAGGCTGAAAGTAAAGATGGATTGAAATTAGGAACGTTAATTAGAACAGAACACTCGACTGCTAGGGTAGATTTTTTTTAATGTAAAACGCCTCTAGAAAATCTAATTCCAGAATGGAAGATGTTTTTTAAATAATTTTGGCTGCAGAAAAATGGAAAGTGTAATTTTCGGACCAACAATACAAAAAAATCTTTCTGTTCTTAGTTAACGACTGTAATTTCAATCCATCTTTGCCTTCAGCCTTTAAGGAAAAATATGTTTTAGTCTGTTTCATCAATAGATGATACCAGTAGCAGTCCAGCCATTCTTATCTTATCACTATTATCTTATCTGGATTCTTTGCGCTTTGGCAGCTGAGGCTAATGGTTCCGTAAAACCATCGAAACTAGTCCTGCGAAAATTTACAAATCTAACTCTGATTTTTGTCATTTGACTTGTAGGATTTATATTTATTTTAACTAACATTTATTTTAAGCTATCTTTCCTGTCAAGCCTTTACTTTCCCCTAGAATTGCCAATGCCAGAGTATGTAAATCTTAGTAGAACGCGCAGAGTATTCAAATTTTAGCAGAAGTAAATTGAGTTAAATAGAAGGGAAACGAGATTGTAAGTGTGCTTCTTGAATCACGAGCGTGAAGGTTGCTAGGTAGAAAATTTAAGAACTGTGCGTTTCGGCCTGTGTGCCTATTTCGGCAGTTCGTTGAATCTTTCAACTTCTTAAACAGTAAGTTTGCTGAATCTCAGCTGTATCTTAGAACGAGGTTAAGTTAGTTACGATTATAGAGCCTCGTAGATAGTGACTTCGTTATTTATTCATCCTGTCATTTATTTTTAGTTGTACTTTTCTATTTTGTTTAACCGACGGGTTGGCATAGTTTGTGAGCGTCAAGTGAACGCAACTGTGATTTCTAAAGTGGAATAAAAAGGGATTTAAACCCTTCTTACGAGTTTGTATAATTTGCAGTTTATAGCAGTCACTACTACTGTTGCTGACCAGTTGGGGCGACGCAACATCATAGACTTCTAAATTAATATTTGTTCGGCGTGTTATTTTACCTTGATTACCTTGGTGAATTGAATTAATTTACTTTTGAAGTTATGTTCTTATTGACCTAACTAAGCTTAGGTCAGTCTCCCAGCTCCAAGCAGTTAGGAGATGTATTTTATTTTTATCCCGCACTAGTAATAGGAGTAAAGATTTTAGTTTAATGTAAATATTGAAATTTTATTGAATTTAAATTTTATTACTGAACGATGCAGAACGATCAAAGAAGACTACCTAGTGATAATTCTATGCTATTTTCAGCTTTGAACGAATACTGTAGTTTCCCTCCTCCCATTCCTCATGGATCAGTCATAGGGGAGAAAACGGGGGATTTCTACATATGGGATGATGAAGTGGAGATCATTTGCGAGCCAGGATTCAAATATCTGGGTTTCGATTTCAACTGGTGTTCGAGAGAGACTGGATGGAAGGTGGATTTTTCAGAATGTAAAGGTATGCGATACTTGTTTAATAATATCTTTAAAAAAAAAATTAAAAAAAATAATCGCAATATATTACTATAATCACTATTCGTCAAAGTAATTAAAATTTTGAATTCATGCAATAACATCTTAAGCAGGTGAGACTTAAGCAGATGAGACTGAAACAGCTTAAGCCATCAAACAGCTTAAGCAGCAACAGCTTAAGCAGATGAGCAACAGCCTAAGCAGCTACAGCTTAAGCAGATGAGACTGAAACATTTAATTTTTCAAATTAAAGATTGCACTACGCTGGAAATTTGAAAGAATAATTTTAATTGGAAAATATTTATTAAGGAAACAAATGGTTATCAAGATTGAGCAAAATAAATAAAATAAATAAAAGTAATTTTCCGTAAAATAAAAAAAAAAAAAAAAAAAATAAAAAAAAACATTAAGACCTGTAATAATTACTCATCCTTTAGTGTTCCAGACTCATGAGCAGGTAATTATTTAAAACATTAAGCAATAACAATTTAGGAGTTCTAAAAATGTCCTTCTTGACTAATATTTGAGTGGGGTATTATTATTTATTTATAATAATACCCTACTCAAATACACCTTTACTTTTTTTTCTTTACAGAATGTGTTACTACTCATTCTCAAACAGGCAAGAATGCACCCCAAGGAGAATTAAGAGCTCGAGAGGAACAAAAATTAAAAGCACATTACTGAATTAAAATAAAAATAAAAAATAAATAATAATAAAATTACAAACTCTAGATACAAATATCACTCCAAATTTACAGGGAATTAATTATAAACCAAAAACGTTAAACCCCTTAATCTTTTACAGTAACATTGTTGGACATTTTGGCTAAAGGCATGTTAAAAAAAATATGCTTTTTAGTAAATAAAATTAAAATTAAAGAAACGAACTCATTAACTAATCTGCTTTTCATGTCTAAAATTCGCATTAGTGTAATAAAAAGGGGGAAAAGTTACTATTCTGTTACCAATGTATTAGTTGTGAGTTACCATTGTATTAGTCTTAAAAGGCCAAAATAAATAAATACTAGGGGGACCGGAAAGTAATGTCGTTTCTGCGCATGTCGGCAACAACATGCTAAGGGCAGAAGTGGAAGCAAATCCATGTCAAACACTCTTAACCAACCTTGGTCGACCATCCAAGAACATTTAAGCCCACCAGCGGCCGAGCGGTAATGTCGCTGAACACTGGTAGTTCGGTCCGAGGTTCGAATCCCGCGAACGGGCTGGCTGCATGGGTGTTTTCGTGGTTTTCCCCATGTGTAACGTGTATACGAGCCAGTTTCCCTTAGAAAGTCCTCCACGAAAGGCATCCCTCCTCTTAGGCAGATAGCCCTAGTGTGCTTTGCCATAATTAAATACACCACCACCACCAAGAACATTTAAAGCAGAATGGAAAAATAAGCAAAGCAGGTGTTTGAGTCCCCCATAATCTGTCCGAAAAGAACAAAGCCAACCTATCCATCACATGCAACGTATTGCTTCAACGGCACCGCACAGAACCGTTTTTTGATCGTTTGATTAGTAGAGACAAAAAAATAAGTCCTGTATGATAATCCAAAACTCAAAAGGCAGTTTTAATAGGAGTTACAAAGGGTTTACATCCCGAAAAGGCGCTTCTGGGTGTCTGACGTAGATTCGCGGAATTGTTCATTTTGAATTGCTGAAGCCTGGACAAACTGTTAATGCAGACCTTTATTGTGAACAATTGGATGGAGTGAACCAATCTTTAATCGAAAAATATCAATTGTCAACAGAAAAAGCTTCATTCCGCAACACGAAAATGCAAGACGAACACTGGAAAAATGAATGAATTGGGGTGGGAGGTACTGTCATTCTCACCCAACATACTCGGCCGATATCGCAGCACTGGATTTCCATTTTTTCGGATCCCTACAACATTTTCTTAGTGGCAAAAAATTTGAAAGATGTCCAAAATGTCCTCTAGAGATATTTTACTCAAAAAACCAATTGATTTTGATCGGTCCGGGATTGAAAATCTGCACATTAGACGGCAAAAGGTTATTGATAACGAGGACGATTATATTATTGATTAAAAATAAAAACTTGTTAAATATGTATTCGTTTGAATTTAATGTAAGAAAGCGATATTACTTTCCGGGTCCCCTAATATAAGAAAGTAACATAAATTTAAAATGAGCAAAGGATAAAATGGGCAAACGTTTAAGAAAAATAAAACTTTTCTAAAAACCTAAGTGAGAAAAAGTCAGTCTCAGTTTTAAACGTTTGGTTTGGTAAAACGAAATGGCGTTACAAATGAAAATAAATCTTAGCTTTCTTACTAAGAACATGGGGAGGCTGAAATGTAACCAGTTTGCCATCCACATGAGGTTCCTTTACCGTTCGAGATATTAGCCAAGCTTAAAACCCGGTGCCTTGTTTTGGAGGATTTGAAAACTTCTGTGAGGGTGACGTCTTATCATCAAACAGAAATCAAACTCACGATTCAAAGTATCAGGTTTTTTTATTCTTGATTATGGAAGAAAAGATAAACGGAATGAGTATGTACAAATGGATTAAGTATGTTTAGGAGAGTAATCACACAGCTGACCGCCTCGTCCGTATCCGTATCCTTAGCCTTTTGACTGGTATACAGTCCTGAGAAGGACTTTTACCAGGCCAAAATACCCTTATTAGGGAGCCTAGATGTAAATACTTCCTGAAACAAACGTTTCAAATGGAGCAAAGCACCTCCTTAGTGCTGAGAAAGAAAAGTATGGCACCTGTACTGCAGAAATGGCATTTTTTGAATCGTGGAGAAAACTTTAGTAAATGGTCTTTCCGTATCTGGTAGATATGGCATTTAGTAGATGGCATTTTTCTTATCGGGAAGATATGGCATAAGTAGATGGCATTTTAAGTTGATAAGCATTATGATGATTAAAATGGCATGAGATTGGAGCTGCGCTCCGTACGTCTTTCCTTTGTGAATCTTGAGTGCAGACTGAAATGATAGGTGATGCTCTGGATATTTTAAAGCGAGCGCTAACTCTGATTCGTTGAAAAGATCACGTGATACAATACACAAATGCGATTTGCCAGTCCTTAATTTTTAGTCCTTCTGGTAAAGGAATCGCATCGAAATATAAAGAAACTTGATTAAATATGAAGAAATAAAATAAAATATATACATATGTACATTTACCATCTTTCGTTATGAAAGATGGTACGCGGTCTGTTATGTCGCTGAATCAGAGTAGCGTCGTAATTTAGAAGGTCGGTTATTGTGGAGTCTGGATGTTTGCTGCAATTTAAGAAGAAGTTGTGGCTGTTTTTGATGATTTCACTATTCAGTGGCAAAATTTTGAGGTCTCTGTGGATAGTATTGTTTCTGATGTACCATGGTGCATTAGATATTATACGGAGCATTTTATTTTGGAGAGTTTGAAGTAGTTCTCTATTAGATTTGGCTGTGGCTGCCCAAGCGGGAGATGCATATAATAAAATGGGTCGGATGGCTTGAATGTAGATTAATCTTTTAGTTTTGAGGCTGAGATGAGAATTTCTGCCTGTGAGTGCAATGATTGCGTTAAATGCTTTAAAGGCTTGATTTCTTGTGTAGAGCATGTGTTTCCGGAAAGTGAGCTGTTATCGAGGAATACTCCTAAGTATTTTACTTCGTTAGCTTGAGGGATGGTTTGATTATTGATACTGATATTTTCAAGTTGTCGTCGTAGATTATTTTTCCTGAAATAGATGAGGGTGGATTTGCTTTCATTTATTTTAATTTTCCAGGCTTTGAAATATTGTGAGACTATGTTCAGATGCTTTTGTAGATTTTTATTTGCTTTTTTGGGGTTTATGGATTTGCTGAGAATAGCCGTGTCATCTGCGTAGCTGTAGATTTGAACATTTGGATCAGTTGGTATATCATTGATATAGATATTAAAGAGGGTGGGAGAAATTACAGAACCTTGAGCCAGTCCCGCAGTGGGGTAATGCTTTGGTTGATAATGAATTTTTTACCTTGACTTGATAAGATCTGTTTTTTAGAAAATTTGAGATGAGCACAATAAGGCTGGGTGGAAATTGATAATTGATTAATTTGATAAGGAGTCCGTCCAGCCAGACTTTATCAAAAGCCTTTTCTCAATGTCAAGGAATATACCGGCTACTGTTTCCTTTTTAATGAAACTTTCGCCGATATACTCCACTAGCCTGGTTATTTGATGTACAGTTGAGTATCCAGTACGGAAACCGAATTGATGATTTTTGATGATATTATTTTGATTTAGATGGTCTTTAATTCTTTTGATGATGATTCGTTCAAAGATTTTCCCTATGGAAGGGAGAAGAGAAATGGGTCTATAATTTGCTGTATTAGATGGGTCTTTTCCAGGTTTCTTTAGGATGAAAATGATGGCGTGCTTCCAGCAGTTTGGGAAATAGTTATTTCTTAGACAAGCATTGTATATATTACATAAAAGGATGATTGCTTTTTTGGGTAGGTTTTTAATGGCTTTATTGCTGATTTGATCATGACCTGCTGCTTTTTTGACATTGAGATTTTTTATGATATTTCTTATTTCATTTGGGATTGGTAGGGAGGTTTGGGTTATTGCTGTTTTCTGAGATGAAATGGTTCACATGATTAATTACATTAATATCGTTACTGCATGGGTATGAGCTGTTGGAGAATTGGGATTGAAAGTCGCTGGCAAAAATTTCTGCAAGTTCTTCGGTTTTCGAGATAGTGGTATTGTTTCTTTTGATTGGGCCTATTGTGTAATTCCTGTTTTTTAAAACCTTTGCAATTTTCCAGACAGAATGATCGGTGTTGCTTAAGCTGGATACAAAATCATTCCAAGCTTTGTCGTTGTGGTCTTTCATTAATTTCCTGAGTTCTTTTTGGGCTTTGTTGAATTTTCTTTTATCTCTATGATCTTGAGTTCTTTGAGCTATTTTTCTTAGGTTATTTTTCTCGGTGATTTTTTGAAGAATATAAGGAGGTAAAGTTGCAGGGGTATCTTTGCTAGCAGATTTGGAGTGATTAATGGCCTGATTTATATGATTATTAAGGTAGTCTATTGCCGCTTCAATTTCTGGGCCTGAACCTAGGCTGGTAGTGGCTTGGATGTGCTGGTTGAGGAGGTAAGTGAAGTTGTTCCAGTTTATTTTGGTTCTTAGGGGTGGAAGGCCATGCCTAAGTCCATATAATGTGAATTCCATGGGTAGGTGGTCTGATGAGAGGCAGTTTGCAACTTGGATATTAGGTGTTTGCTGTATATTGTAAGTAATGACGACGTCAAGAACATCGGGTTGACCGTAAAAGTGTGGTAGGGATGTACGTGGGGTCTTCAGGGGCGTAAATTTCAGCGTTACTATTGAGGATATAATTATTTAAGATGATGCCATTATTATTGTTGGACTGGAGTGCCAGTTTTGGTGCTTACAGTTGAGGTCTCCTGCTATTATTGTTGGGTATCCTAGATTGAAGATGATGTCTAAGTCATTGGTACTGATGAGGTTATTAGGTGGTTTATAAGCAGAAATAAGAAGAAATTCAGTATTTTTACTATTTAATATACAGGCTGTAGCTTCCATGCTAGAGAGTGAGGGTAGATTGAAAGGGTAGCAATTAAGATAACGTTTTGTGGCTATGAGGGTTCCTCCGCCTCTGTTGTGGATCCGGTCGGTACGAAATATATCATAATTTGGGATTTTGAAATTGATTGCCGGTTGTAGATGAGTTTCTGAGATCATTAATATGTCAATGCTATTTTTCTGTAAATAATCTTTCACTT